CAGCAGAGCATTTTAGAATCCTGTAGAGGTAAATATTTCAATTCCCATCTGTAATCAAAACAAGTAATTATTATAAAAGAAACATTACATCAAGTTCTGGGTAGTATGAAAAAAATGAAATAAACATAAATTTGCGTTTAATTTGCTTGATAGATGCTTCCAAGGCATGTAACAATTGTATTTCCAATCAAAACCTTTCGAAAACCACTCAAATTCCGGCAAGATTCTTCAAGAACAATATTTTGGCACATTAATTTTGGTGAAACCTGTGCCTGCTGGTTATATGAGAGAGAAGGATAGAAAATTGAGAAAACACTGCCTGCTCACCATGTACCAAGATCCAACCCATTTCACGCCATGTCGAAACATGTGGGAAAACCAGTCCACAATGACCTACCTTTTGACTTCCTAGTTGTCAGTGGTCAGAGATTGTAGACACCCGTAGCACAGACCGTAGCGCCATGTTTTTGCAAAACTCGAATTTGTTTACTCGAAGCGGGATATTCAATGAAAAAGTAAAAATTTTAAGCAGTAAATAGCAGTCACTCTCATACACGCGTTTTAAAGCTGAAAAGCGATTTAAAGAGCGCAAGTAAATCTCCAGGCATTTTCGGTCTTACTTCATGAGACTGCTCCAAAAGCTTCTGAAAACTCATGGACTATCTAAGTCGCTCACCCGATGACATAATGGTGACTGGCTAAAGTAGGTAATCACAAAAATGGCAGTCAATGAGCCGATTTTGATTAAAAAGCACTCAAAAATGAAATAAAAACTTGCATTTTACAGGTGAAAATGAATTAAAAGATTTACGAAAAGGCCATTTACGAACAGGTTGGACCGCTTTTATCGTAACCTATTAGGCCAGTAAAATATAAACAACTTGTTCACCAATGACTGGGTGTTTGCCTGATACAAAAATTGTAACATCCCTTCATAAAGAGTCAGGTTAATTGAGCTGAAGAGTACTGGAATCCAGCTGTTGCTAGCCACCTTATCAGGCTCATAGATGAGTTAGCTGGGAACTCTATGAATTTAGAGTCAAACTTCTGCCACTAATCCCACAACCTAGTCAATAAAAGGGGAGGGTTGTCATATGTGGCACTACTTGGCCCTCTCACATACATGCATGGTTAATACCCTAGCCATGACTAGATCCGTCATTCTTTTAGGGACTAAAACAATGGAGTCGTTCAAAACAGATGCCTATATAACCTGGAGATTACAAGAAGACATTTCTGCCCCCAATATGGGTCTCTCTAAATGAAAAGGGAATGGTAGAGATAATGATGTCCTCCTTTTGGTAACAGGATCGTCAGATATGGCAATCACGCTGTCGTGTTTGTCATGACGACAGGAAAGAAAGAAAAAACGAAACCAGTTACCAGGGAGAGGTCAGGTGAAATCGACTGATGAGTAATGACTAAAAAACAGTGAAATACTAATTTCAATTGTGGATTTCGTTAATTTAAAAGAATAAGTTCGTGACTTTTTAGAGAACCTGATGATCTCACTGAAAATTGTGTAGCAAGAGGCAAAACCGTAAGATTAAAAAAAGGTCTTTGGGCCATACACAGGAGATAAAA